CGGGGCCATCGTAGTAGCGTTTGTCGGGGCCATCGTAGTAGCGTTTGTCGGGGCCATCATAGTAGTAACGTTTGTCGGGGCCATGATAGTAGTGTATTCTCCTTGAATCTGATTGGAAAAAGTAAGAAAATATCATCAGTCTGTGTCAACTGAGTTGACTAAAAACAAATTATCTACCAAAGGGCTGCAACTGCCCCACGAAGCAAAAGCAAACCTTATCAGCCAGGAAAATCTAAACCCATAAAATCATATCAGCTGATATTTAGGTCCACTTTGAACCGGAGACCTGCAGTTTTATTGATACAGAAGTTACAGTTAGAATTTAACTGCTGCAATAAAAGACAACCTATGATAATGATGTCAGAAATCCCTTTTTTCATTGACCTACATTTTCATGTATTAGGATCATGGAGTTTGGAGTATAAAATATCGTCTGTTCTAAACCTGTTTTGTTTGGCCTGAGGCTGTAGTGGTTGCAGCTTTCTTTCCTGAAACCTTTTCATTGAGCCACAGCAAATACAGACCCCAAAGTGGAAAGTAAAATTAAAGTTTATTCATATAACACACTGCACTTCCTTAAGCTGATAAAACGAACGGTTCCTGATTTGTGCAAAGTCACGTACAGACGGACGGAGATTTCTTGAATGTTTTTCAAATGGAGAAAAAACCAAAAAACATCAGACGGCATGACCCATAAAAGTTCTGTTTGTTTAATATCATGTTTTTATTCTTATATTTAACAGCGTCATCCAGGCAAATAATTTGAAATGTTTACTCTTTTAATGTTGATATTCATTTCGGCTCATTGACTGACCTGTAACATGTTCCATCAACATTCAGAAAAAGTTTCAAAAAGTTTTGTTGGACATGAGAAACAATTTGAAGTTGAAATTGAAGCAACATAGGCAGAATAATTCACAACGGTGCCACCGTGTACAGTAGGAAACTTAAAAAGGTACGAATAGTTACCTGTGCTAAAGCCAGAGCCAGTGCCCAAAATCCCAGAAGCCTCATCTTCATGGTGAAGAGTCGATGGTGCTGAATATGTCCGGCACAGAAGGAAGGCTGAAGTTTTCTGGAAATGTTCTGTTGCAAATACAGACCTGTGATGTTTTAGGAGGTGTGATAATATGACGACCTGGATCTCAGAGCTTGATGAGGATGTGCACCCTTGTGGAGAGATTTTGTAAGTGTGTGTGTGAGGGCACGAAAAGCTTTTATGGGCCTAACAATGATGGAAAATATTCTACCAGATATTGGCCCATGGTTTAATTTTTAACCTTGATTAACTTATATGACATCCCCTGTTTTGATGCATATTCATAAAGAGCGGTCAAAGAACTTCTAGTGAACTGAAGGGAAATGATTCTATCAGGTGGATAATTGACAAATGGTCATGAAAATGTAAATCGACTATTTCCTTTTTTCTTTATTTTCTTTATTTCCTTGTGTGTGATCTTGAGTTGTGGGATAAAGGTTTTTTTAATAGGAAAAAACTTTTGGAAACAAAACTGGATGGTTTATATGTTTAAACTGAAAGACAGTTCAGATCCACTATCAAACCATCACATTACTTATCGTTTTAGTTTTCACACACCGAAATAAAGAATCATATTAGTTTGGCTCATCTGACACACAAACTGTGATGTCCTTGTGTCCAAGTCCAATGTCCTCAACATTGCTTTCAGTTTAATTTTTAAAAATCAGATCAATGTATCACCATGTTTTTAAAGTGGCTTATCTAATGTCATACAGTCATACTTGGGTTTTTTTATAATAACTTTTTCATATCATTTTCCTTGCTTATTTCATCACTCTCACTTTAATTAGAGTCAGATGCTTTTCTTTGTCCTTTTGTTGTATTATTTTTTATTTACAGACACTATAGGAGCAAAAGAAAAACACTTGCTGACTCGCGGAAGGATCATTCATTATTATTCACCTGGACTTAACAGGCCATTAAATTTAAAATCTGATGATATGGCTGATATTGAGACTAATCTTACAAACATGGACATTTTGAGGAATATAGAATGTATCATCCACTTTTAGGGGAAATATGAGAAAGCTCAAAAGATTAGATGTGGTTGAGTATTTGGGTGTTGGCTCAGTATTAATGTCACATCTTTCTCAGACTAGCACAACAAAAGCTCTATTTCTCTGCCCCCTTTCCTCAAATTGTATTTTATCATACAATACAATGCAATATAATACAATGCAATATAATACCTGGACTGAATATCTGTGTCGTCCAACAGAAACCTGCTGCGGAGCTTATCAATCATCCACAATGTTTTTTGAAGATTTGCTTTTAATCACTTTTAAGCCCCTTAATCAAAGCTCTTTTTTATTTTATATGTATTGGTTTTGGATATACCAATATGTCGTTTCAAAGATAAACACAACTACAAAACAAGAATAACACATCAATTTATTATTATATTTGTATATTTGGAATGTTCTTAATTAAGAAGAAACTTTCACATGAGACGATGAATAGATCTACAGAATGATTTTGGATTTACCTCAGTTACACATCAGATAGCAGTGATCTCAAACATACACATAAACTTGCTTGCTCATTATGATTCATAGGCTGCTGCTTTTTTCCCCTTCACATACCAATGCAGGATCTGAGTTCTTTTGTTAATCAGTGCTGACTCTATCACTATGACTTGTTAATTATTTCTTCAGTTTATAAAAACAGAACTTAATTTAACACAAAATCTACTTCCTCTTCAGCAAACATTGTAAACGAAAAGCACCCTCTCTGAGCCTCCAGGGGGCGCTCACTGCCAAAGGGGTCCAAGAACAGAGGATCCCAGCAGGAGGGTGATGGAGGTGAAGATGTGGCCCTGTCCGTTCATGGTGACCTTGTTGTCGGTGCTGGTGACCACAGTGGTCCGGGTCATCGTGCTGCTCGTGGTCGTCTGGTAACTGGTGGGATTGGCTCCTGCAGGGTCGTTAGTGGTGCTGTAATTGGACGGCCAAGTTGTATTGGACGTGTTATTGTGAGTCACCGCTGTGGTGCCACCTGATGATGAATTCTGGATGAGGAGAGGACGAGGAGGCAGACAGAGACATTCATGAGACAACATAGAATTGTATTTCGTACAACAGCAAATTATTTTGTGTTTTGTTTTTTTAAAGTTTGTTGCAGTATTTGAAAATAACAAATAAAAAGAATATAAAAGATATCACTATATTTTACTTGATGACCTATATATCAGAACCTCTATCCTTTTGCTTTTGACCCTGTTGAACTACAAAAAACCTGTAAAATAAGAATATAAGAGGTTATATTGATATTTCTATATACTTTTCTGTGTATTATTATCATATATATACAAGGTATTTGGTTTTATGTCTTAGTTTGAGAGGAATATTTATACCTGAGTGCAGACAAATTCCAGCAGAGCCAGTGAAACCAGCCCCAGAACAAGGTTCTTCATCCTGGATCAAATGTGATTTCCTCTTCAAGGTAAAGCTGGAGGAAGCGTCTCTAAACGTCTTTCAGGTTCAGCTTTGTCGTATGAGTCGTGTGCGTCGTCTCGGGCTTGTGCGACTTACTTTGGTAAAATGAGTGTTTCCAGAGGCTGATCTTCAGTAAGGTGTCAGATTATTAATATGATACCTGTTTTCTGTCAGGAAGTCTGACCTCAGTCTCCACCCAAGAGATGA